TCCCCCTTTTCGATTCGTTCGGTCAGTTCTTCTAGCCTCCTAAGAACCGCAGAATCAGCATCCGGCCCACCCCGTTCCGGCTGTACTGGGGTCGGATTGATGATTGCAGCTGCACGGGGAGCCTCCTCGGACCTGACAGGCTCCTGGACCCGGCTCTGGAGCTGAGCTATAGCCGATTGCTGGGCTTGCAGCATGTCAAAAATCATTTTAAGGTTGATAGTCTCTTCGCCGACTGCCTGGGCCCTCGAATCGTCCTCTCCCCGGACGCTATGTGATGATCCGGAGGCCTGATCAGTGTTGAGCGCCATCCGGGAACCGGCATCTATCGGGTTTTCGAGCCCGGGCATTCCATTGTTTCCTGTCTGCTGTTCAAGTTCGTTGTTGATTGATTGTGCCATTCTATGAGTTGGTAATTTGAATGTAAGATGGACTCTTTTGCAAAGAACCAGTGTATTGTGATGTGTCAAGAAAGAGTATCAAAGAGCTCACTAATATCCTTAGCCCCACGGTGGGCGCCAAACTGTTTACCCTTGAATCCGGATAACAATTGAATTTATATGGGATTTTAAGGATCCGTGAACTAAAAGATACAAAAGGTTTAGGTTGAGGAAAATAAAGATAAAGACTCAACAATTGCTGTTAAAGTAAATAATCGCAGAATATAATATTGCTTAGAACAATTATGCTTGATAGCGTACAAGAATTTAGAGAGATGGTACTGTAGTGTAATGGTTTTTTCCCGGGTCCCCTCTTTATGGGGTCTTCTCCCTTTTTATACATTCTGATTAAGGGTAAAAATAAGGTAGGTAAATTAATTACATCGTGGATCCCTGTAATTACGCCTTAATGGCCTGAAGTGGTTGAGAAAATCACGTTTGGGCGAGATATCCGGCGACGCTTGGTTATCCGTTACGAGTCCGGCTTCCGACCTTGTGTGTTTCTCCATCCGGTGGTGACTCATATCGAGCTCTGCAACGGTCTCGAAATGACTCGACCTCGGTTGTAGACGTGGCCGTCGTTCTTCCTTGCATCCAGGTCGGGTTCGATGGCCCCGACTTGCCCCGGACCGGACCCAACCCGGTCGGGCTCAAGCAAAAAAGGGTATCACCCAATACAAGTAATAATATGAAACAAGCAAATAGACAAGAATGTAGAGAGAAATAGATGTGAGATTCTTATTTCTTCAATGTATTCAATTGTATACAATGTGATGCCCAAACCCTCTATTTATAGGATGATATTTAGGTAATACAAAAGGATGTCATGAACATAGTATTAACTATTGAGATCATGGGGGAAGATCATGGAGGGGGTTATGGAGGTGTGGGAGTTACAACAATAATTGTAAGAAGTAGTGGGAGGTTAATGAAGAAGAGTAGTGAGAGTAACTTCTTTAGGAGTTATAGACATCTACTAATATTATTATAAATTTCATAACACATAACACATTTTAATAGATAGTAACTATTAGGGGTTGTTTGGTTTTAATGGGATTAGGATAATAATCTCATAATAGAATTTATAATCATATTTATTTTGTGTTTGATTACGGATTATTAATCCCTGGATAATTCTCTTCTGAACCAAACAACCCCTTAAGAAAGAAGCTATGACAAAGAAAGAGATGCACCTTTTCTCTTATTGTTGCTTAAACCACTTGATTTTACAAAATAATTATTATTAGTTTTTATTTTCCTATTTTTAATAGGAAGAATTCCACTTCAAATCATTAGCAGTACTTTTTTCTATTTTTTATTTTATAATTCAACAAGATAAATTGAAATGTATACGTGGTAATTTTTTTTTTTTTTAAATACAAACTTGATAATAGTTGAAAGTGAATGCACCACAATTTACCGATTCGAATTTGAAATTAATTGACATAGAAAAATTTAAGAAGTCAGTATGAACTCATCAATGAGTGCTCTAATTGAGGTTGTTCCTATCCTTAACTCTTGAATTTTGACTACTGTAAATCTCTTGTTTTAAATTTTTTACCATTTTCAATTCTTGATTTTTGATTTGCTGTAATCTCTTGTTTTAAATTTATTACTATTCTCAGTTCCTGACTTTTGATTTGCTGTAATCTCTTGTTTTAATTTTGTTACTATCATCAATTATTTGAATTTTGATTGCTATATTCTCTTATTTTTAAGGCTGTTCTTTTTATTTTTATTTTTTTATGACAGTTGTGTCCGGGCTAGTTTGCGCGTACCTCTTGTTTTAAGGTTGTTTTAATTCTCAATTCATGAGTGTTTATTACTGTAATCTCATTGTTTTATTAAATAGTCCCTTTTCCCTCTGCCATTTACTTTGTTTGCAGCCAAAGCATTTCACTTGTTTGATATTTTGGTGAGTGTTAATCTCTGCTTTCAAGGGTTAGTTTTTTGTGAGAAAAAAAAGTCTTTGTTGATATAAACCTCTCTCAATTGTTTTCTTGATTTATTGTTTGATGTGTAGTGTATGTAATAAATTTGATGCAAAAAGTAGGTGCCCTTTTCATGTAGAACAATCAAATTGGTTTATTTTGATTATACCGAGGGGCGGAGCCACTTATTGGGAAGGGGGTCCAATTGAATTCCCTTCGTATACTTCGTAAATAGGGTAAAAATAATTTTTTATATATATATAAACGATTGAATCCCCTTGACATAAGAGAAACTTCTAGTGTTCTAGTAAAGGGGTTCAAAATTAATTTTAAGTCGTAGATTCAAATTCCAAATGCGTCATTCTTATAGTTTTTTGAATCCCCTTACGAAAGTTCCTGGCTCCGCCACTTATTATACCATTGAATCTATTACTTTGATGGTCATGCATGTTTCCATGGTAATTCATATATTCTTTTTAACCTTTATTTGATTAATCATATATTTATTTCCTATTTTATGTTTTTTGGCATTACATTTTGGTTTTGATGAGATATGGCCTGGATTTGTCATAGATTATATCATTATATTGAGTTGTGTCATTGTTTACCATTAGATCTGTGGTTCTGAATATACAAATTCTGGGGAGAAAAGGAAGGGTAAAGTGAAGAGGATATGAACTAGGTTACCTGGACTCTAAATTTGTCTAATAGCTTAATCCTCTTTGATTCCTCTCCATAACAGAAAGTAATAGTTTTTTGCCTTTTTCTGCTTAAGGATTTTAGATTGTAATGGTTATCATACGTATTCATGGTTTTCTGATTTTGGTAAATCTCTGTGACATCTAAGCCTAATCTTTGGTTATTCTCCACTCCTCCCCC